TACTTTCGATTTAGTTTTACTCATAAAAAGAAATATGAGAAAAATCATTTAACTATTCTACTTCACACGGGTTGTGATTTATTAATGATAATTTTCTTATACAGGAAATAGTACTAGTAGTACATCAAGGATAGAAATACTCTTGCTAAATGCATAAACTATACCATCATCAAACAATGGTAATCAAATGACGATTGATGACTGTGATTGACGTTGGTTGTCGATAGCAAATTTAAATATTAGAATCTATGATAGTGATAATAATTGGATTAGAAATTTCAACTTAATGAATTCGTTGTTCTTTTGATGCATTAATAATACTAAATGACGAAAAACTATTAATCTCTAATAATATAAAATGGACAATAAAGAGAGAGCTAATAGAAGAATTGATCATTTTTGAAATTACACACCCTGATCAAATCTTACTTTTTTGTTTCTTTGTTTTAGAAATTGATAGAATATTCTTGAAACAGAAAGGGAACAAGAATATCTTTACTTGAAACATATTTCCTTTAAGTAATCTTAAGTTCAACATTTTTGTCTGCCGAGCATAATTATTCATTTTCAGCAAATTTTAGGATTTAATCAATTGTTTTACAACTACGAATCCCAAAAAGAATTATTTCACATATTAGTCTATAGAGAAGATGAACAGATTCAAACAACGTTATTTTGAACATATTTGCAGCTATATTCAGTTAACTAGGTATAGAATATTCGAAAAAACGAGCTTTTCTGACAGTATGCATGACTGTTTCTGAGCGAAGAGAAGATCTCTAATCATCCTTACGTTCGTAGGACTATCTGTGGATCAGAGAAAATCAAAAAAACACGAGAAAAGTTTGAAGGCATTGCTTGTTACATATGCAATGGATTTTTAAATGAATTGATGTCTTTCTTTCCACATGTTAAGTGAAATTGATATGATAACCTTCATCTAACGAAAAATCAACGTCATTGAACAGAACTTATCTATTACATTACTGTTCAATATTCCATCATCTTTTAGAATTTCTTTTCACATAACAAGAAAAAGGATACCAGATATTATTTAGACCCAATCAAAGACAGCCATAATTTATGTGAAAAGAAAAAATTTTTTTCAGCTACGAAAATTGCACAAATGAGTTACAAGTTGAGAAAATGAATAATGACTTTTATCAAAGCTTCCACGACGAATATATATATATAAGTATTTAATCCATTTTTTTTTCGTTCATTTCAGCTTTTGCTTGTCGATTAATAGCAATATTTTAACAAGTATTCAATCATGAAATTACTTCTTGCTCTCATTTGTTTGCATAGTAAGTTTTATGCATAGAATAAACATTGAACAGTTATTCGATGATGAAGTTATTGTAGACATTTGGTCTACCGAAGCCTATCAATGCTATCGATGTGATAGTGCTAGTCATTTGGGTTGCAGTGATCCTTTTAAGAAGGAAGAAGCTGATGATACATGGAAAGTCACAGTACAACCTAATGAACGATGTACAGTACGTATTCTCATGCATTATTATAAAGACTAATGATATTTTTTCAAAGAAAGTCAAAGTCTTTGGCGGTATCATTAATCGAGCTGTCACTAATGTCACCGAATGTCCACAGGGTGAAAACAAATGTTTGACAGCAACTGCACCGTTGGCTGGAGAAATATCGACATGTTGTTGTGGCTCAGATTTGTGCAATGGTGTGTCATCTGTTCGACAAAAATCCTTCATTATTTTTGGTATCATTAGTACGTTAATCACATTCATCTATCGTCGTTTTTAGAAAAACAAACACAAAGTGTTGATTAAAACTTTTCTGTTATGATTTTTTTTTTCATTAATAACCAAACTAATTGTCTAGTGTTACAAAAATAAAATTCTATCTTCTTTATTCGAGTATAACAAAATGACGATCTATGTTGCAACCTAAAGAAAAAAAAGTAGTTGTCGTATAATCATGAATATTATTAATGATATTTTTAAAGTATATTGACCCAGTGAACACATCATTTCAACAGAAGGTTCATATTAACAAAAAAAAAAGAGGGTGTGGGTAAGTGTGTAAGCTTAACAGTAGCCTTGTAGTCAACCGGCATCCACACCCATACCCTCGAAAATTATACTATTTATTACATTGTAATCCTGCGATCTCCAGCAGAGATGTGCGTCACTCATGTAGAGGCAGCTATGTTTCAATCATACCAATTGCAAAATTGTATTGACATGAATTTTTAAAAAGGAATGTACATCAAACGATGATAAATTAAGACAAAAGGAATTAATCACTGAGAAACTCATTCTTTCTGAGATACTATTTATTTTATTACTACATTTTACATTCATTTGTTAAATTTATAAATTGAATCGTAATCAATGTTGATTAAAAATTATTCTGATAACAACTTGACCCAACTTAAAACTTGGTGAATTTCATTGTGATCAGCATAATATTTAAATTCATCTTAAACTTAAATGTGTACAAGTTTAATTACAGTATATGTTAAGATGGAGACGAACTTCCTGTAAGTATACACATATGTCTGCCTACATCTTGCCGAATTAAATATTCTTTCGTGATATTATTAACTTTATATTGTTATTCTTAGGTAAATATTCAGAAATAAAGCACTGTTTTTAAGAAATATTATAGAGCAGCAAATATGAAGAAAAATTTAGCGAAAAAAGAACTATACAATTACCTTTAGGCGCAGTCGCTCCAAGAATCGAGAAAATTTTAGTCAGTGTCCGCTTCCACTGCTATCTGACGATCGCCACCGCTTCACCTTATTAGGCGAAGTGAACATCTCTGCTCTCTAAACGTAGTATAATCAATGAGAAATATCATAGGGGATCTAGTTATTCATCAGCAAAGAAAAAAAATATCTTCCTTGATTTTTCTATTGTTGTAGTTAATTTTATTTTTGTTTTTGTACTATAAGTATGTATAACCTGTATGCTTTTTTAATATTTATTCTCTCTTCTAATCTTGCTATGTACGATCTTCGGACACAAGAATACTGAAAAGTCAGACAAAAATACCATTTTTCGAAATCGAAGAAGTAGTCAGCATTGATTGAAATTTCTTATGTGTAATAGTAAAAAGATTATTTTAAAGTATATTAACATGAGAAGAACCATAGAAATTGTATGTAAGGGTATGATAGGCAACATATCTTCATTATTAGTAGTATTATATGTATGAGCTTCGTGAATATTTTGACTCACAATAATTTGTTTTTCTTATCTTACATAGTCCTTAAGAGAAGATTTATTTAACAATGAATAACATAAGCAAACCTTATTGCTTTGTTGTAGTGATTCAATATGGACATAGAATAGTTTTTTTTTTGAATGAGATATTTAAAAAAGAAGAGTGAGCCTAGTGTTGTATAATCATTGCTTACGAGAGAACTGTCTGAAGTATTTCATCACTTTGGAGCTCATATTTTGGACATATAGAGACAACTTCTAGACTAGATAATCTGAAAGTGATTGAAGTCCATAGGTCTTATCTACAGAATTACAAGTTTCATTGTCGTTTTTACTATCGGACAAAGTACTACCAGAACAATCCAATAAATAATTTCTATTCTGAAATCTTGTTCACATGTTGATCTCATTATCCTAACAATATCCTAAAACGTTTTAGTCAAAACAATGACTTCCAATATTGAGATATTCATCATTGGAAAACTCAAGATTTTTCTAATTGCTTACAAAGTCTGACCAGTTTTTGGACGTTGTATCGCTCAAGAAGGGAGTTTAGGATTTTGATTGAAACTTTTTAAGATATTATTATGAGGATAAAGCCCACATAGAGACAATATTTCAAGTCGCAAACCATTTGTTGGGGTTTTTCTGGGAATATTTTGCTCATTAGTATGACTATTAAAGATTTGTTCAAAACAAAAGAGATGAACTTTCAAATTACTTCCAGTAGTAAAATAAAATTTAATGTTATGTAAGTGATTGTATATTGATTTTAATATTTAAATTCACAGAAAGGCCTTTTTTTTATATGCAAAATATGTAGCAGAGTAACGGAGAAAAAAAGGATTATTCAAAAATCAGAATTATTCAGAAAGTTAACATATTTTCATAATGTACATTTATCTTGATTGATCGGCGATCTTTGATGAATACAGAACAACCCTGATATGACGCATTTACTTTTGAACTTTAGTCTTGAAAAGACTCGTTTCATAGATGAAAGAAAAAGAAAAAGTCCTTGCAATCAAACATCAAAGAAGGACACGTGTGAGATAAACTGAGATAGCTATCAAGTAAATACAAGTACAAATGTAGTACGTATTTTGTGAAACACGATTTACAAAGGAGTGTTGATATAGGTTGAAAATTTGAACCCACTCCTTCCTCTCCCACAGATCGTGACAGATATCCTGGGAACCCATTACAGTCGTGACATATGCCCTAACAACGTCCTCCCTCTCCTGCACAGACCGTGAGACAAGTTATTGATATGCAATCACAGACCGTATGTCAATAACGTCTTGTTATAATATATGAACTGCTTCATTATTGCACTTCTGAAAGACTAAGTCAAACGATGATGAAGGAATGTGTCTCAAAATAGACAGAACAAAACAGTTTCCTTGTGATTAACAACAGCACCAACATCCTGTTTTCACATGTTAATCCCACAGGGATTGTGCTAACAGCTTTTAAACTAGGAATCAATTCATGAAATCGTAAATCCTAAAAGAAAAGTCTACATATGAAATACCAAAAAAAAGCGATTCATGATGATCTTCAGATGAAATGAACAGATGAATAATTTTCTTTCAAAAAAGAAATAAAAACTATCAATAGATTTTTCTATACTAACGACAATGTTCAACAGGTAGGCGGATGCAGACGATGGTTCTCTGTTCATTCGCTCAGCCCCAATTACCCGATCCACACTCACTCTCATCTATATTTAATCCAGTCTTAACCTCCGTAGAAGAAACATATAACGACTGTTGATATACGAAGTGAAAAATTATTCTAAATTAATTTGCTATCAAGTAATTTTCCAGCTATTAGGAGACCGACGCTACAGAAGAGAATGGCAACCCATATAAAAACACCAAATACGGTTGACATCACGAGACCAGTATAGACACGAGCTGATAAACGTTCGGCTCGGTCTAGTTCATTTCGTTTGATCATGAGACGAATTTGACGGGATTTAAATAAAGCCCAGCATGGTCCAATGATGAAGAAGCAGAATATAGTGAGAACTAAAGCCCAAACGAAATGAGTGTTCACTGTGCGTGGATGAAGCTTCGCGGCATTTTTCGGTGGTTTCGATTCTTGCAACGGTAGCTGTTTCTTTTGTTTACGATAATGATCAGGAGGTTGTTGTTGAACACGTTTAGATGTAAGTTCATTGACAGATAGAGGTAACGAAGTGTCTTGAAGTGAATTAAAACTTGGTTCATGTTCTGTCATTGTATTCTGTATACTTTATCGTCTGTTATGAATCGAAGCGATGAAAACTAAACAGAAAAAAATCATGCATGCTACGTAATTTCATATTAATAAACAGAAAAACATTCTTTCCTTCCCAAGAAAACGAAAAAAAACATAAATATTTAATAATGTAAAAAAAAAATGACGAAAATAATATCATATAGATCGGATGGCTACTCATTCGATCACTTAGTAAACGTCGGGCTTTAAACAAAGAAACTAGAATATTTTGTATAAGTATGAAAATAGCCTCACTTAACTTTTCGATTCTATTACTATGCTTTGCAATGACTATTTTCAATGCAAAAGCCTCACAAGGATTATGCTACTTAACTTTTTCTCTCTATTTGCACACGCTCGGAGCTTTGTTGGTAACCGAAAAAGAAACGAAAAAAAAAACAAGAATAAGTGACGACTATCACGTCAACTCTTGGCAATTTTATTTCTGTTCTCTGCATGCTCTAGTCGATTCGGGACGTGTGTACACGAACAAATATGCTTACAAATTAATCACATATCCACAGCTTACTCTCCAACAACTTTGCCATATTATTTTTCTTCTCTTTTTTTCTCTCCATGTCTTCTTCAGTGGCAAATTTGAATATAATCCATCGAAAACAACGATAAACTAGGGTGACGATGTTGGTGTGTATGTGTGTGCATGGCGTATGATCGGATGTAAGAATAGAATGAAGAGCAAATCTTCCTCATTTACTCACCTACCCACTCACGCCCTCATCTCATAGTCACATCTGCATACCCACAGCGACCCCGACACCCATATCTATTAGATTGGCACATAAGTTCTGAGCTTTTTTTTATGCTGTAGACAAGTTTGAGACTTAATATCTCGTGAGTGGAAAATCATAGAGGTCTGAAATTTTTAATATAGATAGATCTTTATGGCTTCTATCTATACTAATAATTTCAGACTTCTATCACTTTCCAATCACGAGACATAAAGCCTCAAACTTGCTTACAGCACAAAAAAATCTCTCAGAACTTATGTACCAATGCAATATATGGCAAGAAGTAAAATGATTTGCAAGAAATTGTACTTGTTTTTTAAAATGTTTCTTTATAGCAAATATACTCATTATCATTTACAAACTTTCTTTACATGATAAATTTCATGATGAACATGTTGCATAATATAATTTAATTTCAAGAGAAATTGTAGCAAAATCTCAAGTTATAATCATATCTTCTTATTCCGATGTATTTGTATCGGGTAAACTTGAGATTTAAGCAAAAACTAAACAGAACTTTTAAAAGATTTAAAAATTGTAATAACTCGATAAGGATGAGAATAAAGAACTAATCTTATATATTAATATTAAGATGTCTTCAACTTTAATTGAAATTTAACGAAATTCAAAAAACAAAGAATTACTCGTTAAAAATTAATTAATAGTTTCAATTCAATTCAAATAAAGGTGTGAGTGTGTCCATATCTTGAAAGCCAATCGTTCAGTTTTCACTGGTCTTTTTAATCAATTTTTTGAGCACTGCAGTCAGTCTCTTTTGCTCGCTTTTAACGATGCTCATAGTTTTAACGTTCTAGAAGTATGAGCACAAAAGTTTCCAACCGACAAATTTCTTGTTGACATCACAATCTTAGCTCTAAATTTTGAGTTCATGTTTCCTCATCAAATGATGACGACTTCGGTCGATGTTGAATGAATTTATTATAGTCATGAAAATGACTACTTTCAACCGACCGTTAGAAACTCGCAATAGTTAGTAGTTGTCAATTCATACTTTCATTACAAAGATACCAGAAATGATTTTCTTCTGTTGTTCAAATTATGCCAACGACTAGCCTTTATGTAACTATCAAAATATTTAGGTATTAAGAAATCTAAAACTATTATGTTTAGGATAAAATACCAACTTTGTAGCTTATCTTGTCTTCCTGTCTATAATATTAGACTTGTACAAATTGAGAAATCTTGCAGTTGTGTCAAATAATCATTTCAAATAAGAAAACATTAAACTTATCAATTTTTGAATAGATATCATATTTTTATTAAAGAAAGTTAGGCAAAGCAAAGCATAAATATTATTCAATATCAGTGAATCTAAGTTACTCGATAAAAAGTTTTGAAAGACTTCTTTCTTCGTTCCTATATTAGGGTATATCGAACGTTTCGAAGCACCATGGAATCGTAATTTTTTTTTCCGAAAGAACTAGTTTCTTAATTGATATATTAAACGAACTGGTTTTTTGCCGGTTAACTCAAGAATTTCAAACATCCATTTTGACTAATTGATATACCATTTTCTTCACAATAATTTCCAATTAAACCATTTTGACATGTATATAATACACAAGAATTACTAAAATTTATTCGATTTTTTTTTTAAAATTCTTATTAAATTAAATTTTGACAAAAAAAACCAACAGATTTATATTCGTTTGTTTCTTTATTTATAATTAAATTGATATATGTACGTGCTATGATTGTTCAAACAACAGGAGGTTCTGTAAAAGTGTTGGGGGTGTAACATCTCCTCCTGTAATTATGAAAAATTTTTGTTTATTCACAACAGATCTGAAAATCTTTTTTTTTTGCATTCTCTTGAAAGAAAGATATTCTCTCTTTGAAAAAAGTGACCACACACCCCGTCCTTTTCTCTTCTCTCAATGCTGACTGATGTATGCAATATCTATTTTTTATTGTTTTAGAAAAATAATTTTGATAAATCAAGAAAACAAAATTGTTGATAAAATTTTGTTAAATAATAAGTTATTTTGACATATCTTTCACAGTTAACGTAAATAGGTTGAATTAAGACTAACTCGAATTCAACCACCAAAACTTGATTCAATTCAATCTCTGTTAATTTCTTTTTTTTCTGATAAGATAAATTCATATATGCTACGTACTATTGTGTTTGAATGTTATTATAATATTCTTTGTCAAATAGTAAATAGTATTGAAGTAAACGTTAAAATTCTAATCTTCGACTGTTTACTAAATGTGACAATCATTTTAAAATTATCAAAGAATTAATTGTTTTCATTCTTTTCTCATGATATTATTAATAGGAAAATTGTATTTAAAAAATAAGATTATGAATATGATTTTTATGAACATGTTGGATTATCACATGGCCATGAACGACGTAATGTTTGTGAATTATATCGAGTACATGTTTTATCAGTGTTTCCACTATGTCCATGACCTTGATGACAAGGACTATAACCATTAATAACTGATGTAAATATCTTTTGATCAATAGGACCTTCAACATAATCGTGAAAATCGAGATAACCCGTATCAAGATCTTCTCGAAAACGTATTGGAATATGTGAATCAACTTGAGTATACATATTACGAATGTTACGTACTGGTCCTCCACCAGTGAAATTGGAAAACTACAAATATAACAAAAAATTTTCTTCAACGTAATCTAAATAATATAAAACATACCCATTCAATCATCCAAAAGTCTGCCATTCGTCCATTGATTGTGACCGTTCCATTAAAAGTTGCATTACTTTGACATAACCAATCAGGTTGCCAAGCCGGAAATGTATAATTACAACATGTTTGAACTCCTGGATAAACATAATAATTTTGTCCTTGATAAAAAAGTACACTACATGGAATATAATTAGCATCAATACCAACTTCATATAATTGTAAAAAAGGACATATCGGATAAAAATCTGTTCGAATTGCTTGATGAGATGCATCATACCAAAAATAACCCCAACCTGTATCACCATTTGACATATTATAATATGTTGTTGCTGCTGACCAAGATGATGCCATAATAGGAGGTGTTTTAGATGGTTGAATTTTATTTTTAGATTTACGTTGTTTTGATGAAGAAGCAACACACATTGTTGTATTCAATTGATTCTGTGTATCAGTAGCTGGAATTACAGCAGGAACACATTGAAGACCATCACAACAATGAAAATCTGTTGGAGCCGATAATGAATTATTGCAATTTAAACGAGTTTCATCCATACAACGAACTTTTGATGGACAAAATACAGTACTTTGACTTTTTTTAATTAAAATGAAAATAATTATAAGAAATTTTATAATCAACTTTATTTTCATTGTAAATTTCATCGAAAGCAATAAAACAATGCTGACCTCTCAAAATGATAAGAACAAAATAGGGAATAGCTTTTGCAAGATGATAAAACATTTTTAGCTTTTTTCTTATCATTACTTGTAGATATAGAAACTAGCACTGTCATCATAACGTTTTGCTGATTATTATTCGTATTTCGTATACTAAACAGGAACAACATGTCAAAAATAGATGAAATTAATCCAAAAGATTCTTTTTTTTTTTTGTTCAATTTTCTTCGAATTATTTTAGTGAATCTATGATCTGTTCTTTGATAATCAAGTATAGAAGATCTGAAGAGTGTCACACATATGTTTGACATGGTCATTGCTTTGTTTTATAGGATCATCTTCAAATAAAAGCAGATAACTCAATGGTAATAGACGAAATAAGGCAACTGCTCTTATTCCCAAACATATTTATCTAAATAGAAAGTCTATTGAAATGGTGAAATGAAATCTTTTTTTCTGCTTCTTTTCTATTATTGATTTATCTTCAACAGTCGGGTATAAGAGAAGATAAGAAAAATATCAAATATGAAAATGAATTAGACATCTCTTCACATTTACCAATACACATCTTTCGTTATTTTTCAAGACTAAACTTTTATCAAACACATGATCACCTACTCTCTAGCCATGCCGTACATCTCGATCTACTCTTGAACAGTTTATCAATCATTCTTTTCTCAAATTCTGCAATATTCTGTCGATTTGACAATTTATTAAGCATTTATTTTTTATTTCGAAATCATAACCAAACAGTCAGTCCACAGCCTTCTTCTTCAACAACAATCAGAGATTTCATATGAAATGATAAATGCAAGATACGACGATGTAGTTCTTTGATAGACGTCTGATACTTATCGAATATCGATTCCAATAATAAATCATCTTCATCATCTTCATCGGCTATAATACTAAGAGTAGGATCATCAACATGAAGATTGAAGAGGGCAGGATCAAACAGGACACAATGGTCAACACTATCAGGCATCGACATTCCACTTTTGCTTCGAAAACAAATGCCAAAATGGACGAACATCGGTACTGTCTCGGCGATAATTTGACAGCTAATATCATCAAGACCTGTGTTCATGTCATTGAGAATGATATGCAATGAGGTGAGCATCGGTAAAGCTGAAAGTGAACGCAATATAGACCAATTGCTTGACACAAAATTCGGCATATTAGCATGGAGTAAAATTTGAATAGAACGAATACCAATTGGAAATGAGGAGAAGTTTTTCAATGTAATGAGATTATTTATCAATGTAACATGACGAAGAGCAAGAAGATTGAAACCAGTGGGCCAATCATGGAACGACAAGTGAACTGTATCAATATGATCTAGTCGCACAACATGAGGCATTGAAATAATCAACGGTAAGAAGTCATTTTGTGATATAGTGAGTGTACGAAGTCGAGTTGGACTAATACTAGACGAGTACGATGGAGGCGGGGCAAATATTTCTATTTTGGTTATATATCGAATTGGTTGAAGCAGTTCGAAGAATGGTTCGAATGCCCATGGTAGAGTGTACCAAACATCGTAAGCCACTGGATAACTGTCGAACTAGAACAAAGAAAGATCATTGCATCAGCACCCTGAAAAAAAATCAAAGATTCGAATTTCGATCAATTCTTAACTTCTCATCAGGATGCTGTCGAATAAAAATCGTGTAACAATACAATTACTCACATAACAATTGACATTTGTCAATTCTTGATATTTCGGAGACAACCAGCTCACAACACACGTTGCACCAACTATTTGTCGTGGATGAAAGCGACTGCCATGTGGCACATGATGACTTAGTTGAATACCTAGAGAAGCGTCGTCGACGATGAAAGCGAACTGAACATCGATCCGACGATTATCGGTGAAAACTGACGATCTATTGATACAATTTAAATCATCGACGGTTATGAAAATGGCCAAATTCACTCGTCGAAGTGCGGGCATCACACTTGGAGCTGTGAGTGATTCAATAATTGGCCATTCAATTCTATTGTTGGAGAATATCGATTGAACCAAGGTGAACGTATGTAAATTGATCATTTTAGGCAATATCAATTCTTTAGGTAAAATATTTTTTCTTCTCAAATCTAAACTGCGCATTGTTACGTGCAATTGTTCCAACGTAATTGAAAGTGTCTCTGTTACCATGACATGACATAAATGTGGTATGTCTGTCATGGATACACGAAGATAGTTGAGAGGACTTTGTATTGTAGCAATGTTCCAATCCGTGAGGCCAAATCCAGTATCTTGACCCAAATCGAGCGAACGAAGCACGCTCAAATGTGGCAAAACATTTTCCACAAGTGTTGTAAGGCGGCCTCTAGGGTGCGAGATATACCCCGTAAAGCCCATCTAGAAAAACAAGAACAATCAATCAAGCGAATTCGTTAGTCAAGAAAAACGATCTTTGTATGAGACTATTCAAGAGAATTCATCAAATGGTTTTTGTTTTTGTCAATTCATGTTTTCATCTATAGAAGTCACTCATTAACGATTCATAGTGAGATTGAACATTGCTAACATATACTATTAATAACTTAGAATATAGGAAAATAGAGATGAGGATGTGATTGAACACTATTTTTTTTTTTATTCTGTGTCTATGACATCTGACTGTAATTATTCAGTTCTTTCTTCGAATTAATGAAAAAAAGATCTTAATGTCAAATATGACAGCATGGAAACAAGAAGATACTAAAGTAAGATATTTTCAATGATTTTTTTTCCTTGAATATGAATATCATCATTACGTAGTTTGAAGATGATCTTGAGTGATACATACCGACATAAATAAATCGTTTGTCTTTAATGTGAGATGCATGAGTGAAACTGAGTGCCGAAGGACAAAACTGGTAGCATCTTCAAAGTCACGTAAACCATATAATCGCAATGTAGTCAAATGAGGTAAATAAGGCCAGCGAGAGAGTTGAAGAGGTGATGCTTCTATGTCGATGATAAGTGTTTCAATTTGATTCAACGGAAGTAGAGTAAGAAGTGTATCGAATTTCGACAGACGTGCTGATGATAAATTGATGTGACGAAAGAAACCTCGTTCATTGACTATCGATTGGATACGATTATTCAAATTGGTGAATGCCCAAAGAATATCGATTGAAGACAAATAGATAAACAGATTGATGAAGAACAGATCCGGTAAATCGTCGAATCGTGTAATTAATGCCATTGAATGAGGAAGAAAAACAAAATTGATTGTACCTTTTATAGCTGTGTTCGGTGATGTGCATCACCGCGAGATATTTCTATTCTTGTCTATATTGACCTCGAACAATGAGCAACAATAATCTTTTGTTCAATGTATTCGTTGCCATGGACAATACAGCAAGATGAGCGAAGAATCAATCATTCTGATTCATAGGGCAATGTTATTAGTGGCGTAACTGAAATATTTTTCTCTTTTCTCTTACGTTCTCCGCTGTATTCGATGAGCAATTGCCAGTCGAATACAGCGGAGAATGTAAGAGAAAAATATCCTAGATACGCCATTGAAATGTATGATAATTTCTCACAACGAAACTACTCATACTTATTCTCAAAACAAGTCAATAGTTAATGGGAAGATATTGACTTTGTCGCAAGTGTTCAAAGCATATGACTTTTATTTTTCTCGCCATAGTGTTCATTGTCATTGTCAAGCAAAATAATATTTCAAACTTGCCTGTTGTTTCGGAATCGAGAAAAAAAACCAAAGTCACTATTATAATCTCTAGACTCGAGTCTCCGTCTGAAGAACAAATAAAATAGACGTAGAAACTTGGTTTTTATTTCATTATTATGGATTCTCTGGGTATATGCCTGGTGAAAGAGTACAGCTACAAAGATAGAGACGTGGCTAGAAACTACAATGAACAGACAGTGACTAACTGCTGACAACTACTTGTTTAAGACGAAATCGAATACAAGAAGAGGAAGAGTCTATGTGAACTAAACAGAATCATGAATTTGATGATTTTCCAACCTACCCCCCCCCCCCCCAAAAAAAAGATAAAGGATGTTTTAACTTATGCATCCCCTGTGGTAGAATAATAGCTGCCTTCTCTTAGAATTTAATACTCTAAAAATGTAAAAATATTGCTTTGCTTATTCATAAAGATACTTTCGAAAATTCTTTTTCCGATGTCAACGCAGGAGTCGTTGGTGAATACATTACAGTATGAATAAATGAAGATGAATACTGTGTTTAGTAAAAATAACATGTATGTGCTATGTTTTCATAATGCAAACGAAAATGAAGATTCATTTAAAAATGAAAGAAAATTATTTCGTAGTTTTACGCCCAATCAAAAACGAATTCTGTCTGTGACATATTCATTAAACTTAATTTATATTCTACATTATTGAAAGAAGGATGTAAATATTTTTATTTTCTTCAGTAACTCATCATACGTTTTTCTTTCTTTCTGTGAGTTGATATAATCAATTATATCTCTAACAACACACGCATACATTGTAACAAAAAAGAAAAGAAAAAAAACAAAGTTTTTCGATTATGTATGAGATATGAAAAATTTGACACTTTTCTCTACAATCTATAGATTCAAATAATTATCTTTTTCATCAATAGATCGATGTATATTCCAATTAAATTAATCTTACTTGAAATTTGTAGTACATACTCTTTCATCATCAAACAACTATATAAGGAATCTAATATTACAGTATACGTCATTTTATAAGCTTGTGAATCATCCTATTACTACAACGTTATTCGAAAGAAAGAAAGAGAAAGAAAAAAAAATAGTCTAGGGGGCACCCGGGATTGAACCAGGGACCTCTCGATCTGCAGTCGAATGCTCTACCACTGAGCTATACCCCCCATGCTATGAAATATTATCATTATTAGATCATGTTAAAATTCCATACTACTTATTTATTCTAAATCATTGAGTTGGTAGTTTTATTATATATATACAAATACTCAATTGAATGATAAATTATTTTTGATCAATGATAC